ATATATATATATATATATATATATATATATATATATATATATATATGTGTGTGTGTGTGTGTGTGTATATATATATATATATATATAAATCATTGTCACATAAATACCTGTTACAGAAATTTACAAAATGTTAATTTATTTATTCTGATATTTTATTATAACAAACATTATTTAAACACCAAAGGAAACACATTTGTACTTCTATTTTACTTTACTGTAGAACAAACCAGGCTAACAGACAGATTCAAGCTGCTTTTTCATTTCCTCTCACATATTTGATGTATTCAGTCAATAAATACCCTCCTGATAGAGATAATAATCCACCCAGTTGATGTCATTTTGTTCTCATTCCTTGTTCATTTGCGCGCACACGCACAGTATGTACTGTACTGTATCAAATTGCATATTTTTTCCCCCATTGCTTGATGCTCATTTATAGTTGACATTTCTGAAGTGGGAATCTTAATAAATGGATACATTATTATTCACCATAAATCTGCTCTGAAACATTAGATCAATGGTACTTTGGTTAGCATCACAAGTCAAGACACAATTAGATCTAAATAGCTCTTTAATTACATCCAAATCGCCCCTTAAGGAGGCTCGTTTGTCAAAATCCATAGTCACATTATTTAAGTCAAAGCTGACACATCTCCTTATAAAAGTTGAAGAAAACAGAGCCACAGGCATCTGTGTAACATTAAAAGCAACCGAACTGTTTTATAGTTACACCCCTTTCACAGCTCCACATCAAAGTACTTAATAGATCTCTGTACATTTGCCAGAAAGCTGCCATTTTAATTATTTTCGTCCCTTTCTCTAGCCAGAATTTGAGAGCAATTGGACCATACGCCATGACACTTAAACTGTTGTAATATCAGTGTTCAGCATTGAAATCCTCTTTTCATTTTCTCTTAAATGCTTGCAGAGCCAGTATGAAGAATCATCATCTGTTCATCTTGAGTTTGCTGTTCTACTCAGGTAAGATGTGATATTATAACGTGAAAATATGTTACAGTAATTTATAGTAAATACATAGTGTTTTTGAACTATACTATAGTAAAGTGTATTGTATTGTATATATTATAGTATTAATTAGGGATCAATTGGCCGAAGATCAGTATAATAACATTTAATGACTTTATTGGTACTCGCTGACCTGGGGTCCGTTTTCGAATACCATCGTTAGCCAACTAAGGTCGCAAGTTGAGTCGTTACAACAGTTTTTATTCAGTTTTAAATTTGGTCATCTCTCTTAGGTGTAATTTGCTTTTAAAGTATTTTTACAGTTCAGTGTTAGTGATCTTTATGTTTACAATTGTGCACTTTGAAAACATTGAAAAACATTGCCATAGCTCATGACGAAAGCTGCAGGTGACCTATTTAAAAGCGGAATTAAAACAGAAAATAATACTGTACAAACTGCATTGTACATTAAGCAGATGAACATTTTCACATTAGTCAATAATATTACTGAAATTAATTATGTGAAGCTGCTTTGACACAATCTACATTGTAAAAGCGCTATATAAATAAAGCTGAATTGAATTGAATTGAATTAAAAAATGAATAAATATAGATTTACACACATTTACTAAAGTAAATAAACAGAATTAATGATGGGCTAAAAATCTGCGAAAATATTCGAAAAATCGTGCGCAGATTCCGGGTGGGCCTGTAAGGCATGAATATATATATTGCGATCATGATTTTCGAAAGTATTACATCGCTTAAACGTTTATTATTACCATTTGTTGAGTCTCCCTATACAGTTTGATAGAGCTCTTGGACCCAGAAACCACTTCGCTTGATGTCACACTTAACAAGTGGATTACTATAGTTGGTGTGTTACCATAGCAACTGTTGAACTACCTAAACAGATTAAAGGTCCTGTTAGGTGCTTCGAAATGTGCATTTTTATTTGATATTTGACGGTATCTCAACCTGAAGAGGGTTAAGAAGAGGGGGCGGGACATAGTATAGCCCATTCCCTTAATAAAAACAGCCAATAGCGTATAGTTTTTCTCACAACTCTGCCAGTGAGAGTGGTTCAGCTCAAGCGCATCAAATGTGAAGCATCTTAAAGGGGGCGGGGCATGTCAGATACTAGAGAGCTTTTGATTGGTCACGATTTGATGAGAAACTGAAGGGATGAGGTGATGCGAATAAAACAGTTGATCCATTTAAGCGGCAGTGACAAACTACGAGCTTTACATGTTTATGTCGTTTTTATATCTTCTAAAGATTAATTTTGTCTCTGTTTTTGTGCGATACAGATATCAATACTGATACTAACTTCAAAAATATTTTATTTTCATAAAATGGGACCTTTGATACAAGTGCTTTACTATTGTATGGTTCAAAACTACGATAGTATTTAATATAAATTACTATGGTATTTTTTATGTAAATATGTAGTGTATTGTAACAGAAGTGTGCTTTCTTGAGTGTAAATGATAAGGACTGTGGCTTTGACGTGCTAATAACTATTGTAGTTCGTTAATTACAGTTGTGATGTACAGTGTGTCTTCTCTAAGTGCTGTAATTGTCTCACAAATGTGAAGAGAACACTAAATGCAGCCTGGTTACACAACAAAAAATAACAATTTTGCGTTTTGCCCGAAAAATTGGCAAACTCATCCTGTTTCATTCGTACTAAAAAAAGGCCCAAGACATCCCTTCACTTTGGCTTGAGTGAATGATTATAATCTGTAGACGAATTAGATCATATTCATCCAAATTAGCAAAAAACATTTCTAATTACCATTAGAGATTTGCAGTTTGCAGTGACTATAGTGTAATAAAAAGCCACTATAGTGTAATAAAAAGCCACATTTATTTTTGACTTCTCTTAGGATTGTAATATCAGTTCAGAACTCAGGAATAAAACGTGTGGTCATGTTTTAGGAAGGTTTTGATCACTCTTTTTGATTTTGATGGTTCTTATTAGACAGTCTGTTTATTACATACAGTTGAAGTCTGAATTTTTAGCCCCCCTGTATTTTCCCCCCAATATCTGTTTAATGGAGAGAAGATTTTTTTCAACACATTTCTAAACATAATAGTTTTAATAACTCATCTCCAATAACTGATTTTTTTATCTTTGCCATGATGACAGTAAATAATATTTGGCTAGATATTTTTCAAGGCTCTTCTTTACTGCTTAAAGTGACATTTAAATGGTTAACCAGGCTAATTAGGCAAGTTATTGTATTACGATAGTTTGTTCTGTAGACTATCGAGAAAAAATATAGCTTAAAGGGGCTAATAATTTTGACATTAAAATGGTTTTTGTTTTATGTTTCAAAATGCTCAGAAGATGATCACTTTAAAACGTAAATATTATTAATTCATTTTAATAATCTAATTAACAAAAGAACTTACAATCGTTTACCCAATTATTGGTAACAATAAGACATTGAAAATATTTAAACTGCATGATGTATTGCGAATAAATATTTCTTAGATGATAACGTAATATAAAAATAAAATTTGACACCCAGTGTCTCTAAATAAAAAGGAAAATTAAAATGCATTCTCTTTCTGTGTGATTTGACTAATTGTTGCTACGCTAATGAATGTGTTTATTAATCTAATCATTGATGGTGTTCTTTTTGACTTTTCAGCATTCTCTGCTACGCTGAAAGGTAAAACTGCTGTATTGATTATTTGAATTTTAGTTTTACAAATTTGTAGTAAAATCCAAAAGTTGTACTAATTCTGTTCTTTTTTTATATAAGTCTTTTGAGTCGAATATCCAAACAATAAAAGATGAATAAGACTTTATTTATTTGTTTGTTTGTTTGTACATTAGAATGTGTCCTGTTTAATTCATTTTTTTATCTTATAATTTTTTTGGCATTATTTACAGAAGATGCCCATTTTTATTGTCGATATTTTAGCTTTAAATAAAGCAAATAGCAAAAGATGAGTATCATTTACTAGCTGAAGTATTTACATTTTTTTCATTAAATAAGATTTTCCGTTGACACCTAATATATATTGTTTTTTCAAATTAGTTCATTAATAACACTTTATGTACAAGCAATCAACTTTTTATTACTTGTCTTTTTTTTTCTTAGTTTTTTTTTGCTGTTATTACTTATTATAAAAATAACTTGTTTCAACAATATACCACAATGAAACCTCTCCACTTGTGTTTCTTCCAGCCCAAGAAGCATCGCAGACGTTGTTTTTTGGGGAAGACTTCCACATCCCCTTGCCGGCAGGAGGAGCTGACGTGTCCTTCAGGCCTTCATTTGGTCCAGGACGCGAGAAGCCACTGATGAGAGCTGGGAAAGTGGTGGACCGTCGTGCCGCGCTCAACACCGGTATGAGCCACCTGATTTTGGAGAATGTTGGAGAAAGCGACGAAGGAGTTTACACCATCACATCCAACCAAAACACAAAGGAAGTTACAACCATGAAGCTCTATATTAGAGGTACTGCAGCAATTTCATCGCATAATACCAAAGATTCTATCACACATTTTGTACAGCAGCTTGTGCATTCAATTGGACACACACACACACACACACACACACTAGAATAGCTGTGAGTGACTTCCATTATTATAGGAAGTGATGTGGTGAATGGTAAGGGAGGTTTAATGAGCTGCTGCAGTAATTGTAGCTCTGTCAAGCCACTCTGGTTGCCTTCCGTTGTTATCTACCTAAAGAGCCCTCATTTATCTGTTTCTCCCATTATTAGTGGTGCTAGCTGACCCTTTCCATTAATGGGGTACAAAATACAACCTCTTCTTCTACGACCAGAAAATTGGGCAGCGAAAGTAAATCCTCAGAAAGGTCATCAAAGTAAGAGGCAATCATGTTTGTTTGCAATCTTGACATTAATGTGGATTTTTCTTAAACATTAAATGAGCATCAAAATATTATGCAAATAATAATAAAGAATAAGACTTTAGTTTAAATTACGCTGTCCCTCAGTAGGTTCTAGCTTATTATATTTTCCATACTTTGGAGAAAATGTTTATAAAATCTGTTTTATATTGGGTGGCATGGTGGCTCAGTGGTTAACATTGTTGCCTCACAGCAAGATGGTCACTGGTTCGAGTCCCGGCTGGGCCAGTTGGCATTTCTGTGTGGAGTTTGCATGTTCTCCCTGTGTTTGCGTGGGTTTCCTCCTGGTGCTCCGGTTTCCCCCAGAGTCCAAAGACATGCGCTATAGGTGAATTGAATAAGCTTGGCCATAGTGTATGTGTGTGAAAGAGTGTGTATGGGTGTTTCTCAGTGTTGGGTTGCAGCTGGAAGGGTATCTGCTGCGTGAAACGTGCTGGATAAGTTGTCAGTTCATTTCCCTGTGGCGACCCCTAATGAATAAAGGGACTAAGCCGAAAAGAAAATGAATGAATGAAAACTGGCCGTAGTCTATGACTAGTCTAGTCTATGTCTATTAAACATATAGTTGGCAGTTCATTCCAGTGTGGTGACCCCTAATAAATAAGGGACTTAGCCGAAGGAAAATTAGGAATGGCTGACGTTTCGACACAGTGTCGAGATCCCGAAGCGCAAGTGTTTCGAAACACTGCACCGAAACATGGTCCGAAACACCCAAGTCACGTGACTAAAGTGTTTCAAAACACCTGGTCACCTGACCTGAAGCAATTCAAAGCTTTGATCAGTTTAGAAGCGTTTCGAGACTTGGCGAATCTGCATTTGACTACCAGGGTCAGAATATACTTCTGTGTCGTATAACCTGGTGGACTGTGCATGTGCACGCTGTTACTTTGCATCAAATAACTTTTGGGTTCGAATCCCGACTTGTACAAATACTCCGAAATGATGGTTTTATGTATTTTAATCATGTTTCTGTTTTATGGTGTAGCCTAAATAGGATAAAGCTGCGGATACGCCATCAATTTGGCATCATTTTTGTAACACTGTAAAACAATAATTAATATTTTTACATTACTGTGATGGTTGGGTTTAGGGTTTGGGTAGACGTTAATAAAATACAATACAGGGGAAATTTAATAAATAATATAAATAATTCTTGTCAGGGCCGGAGTGGGACTCTTTTTCAGCCCTGGAGTTTCAAGCCTCAGACCGGCCCACCTCAGTTCACCAGTTGACTATATTAAAATAAGGTTATTTCCAATTCAGTTTCTAATTACACTATCACGTCTTTTTTTGAGAAAACAGCACTTTTAGAACTTCAAATGTTCAACAACCCTTACAGTATTATGTCTTAACAATAAAAATGAAAAAAAAAATTGTTACTCAGACAAGGACCGAACCCGGGTTGGCCGCCTCATTATCTAACATACTAACCACTGTACCACAACTGCTGTACGTTTAATGGTGACTTATCTAGTTATATCATCATTAACCTGCATCCTGCTCACGAAGCTACGAGAAAATAGATAAAAAGAGCAGAGCTGCGGTAAAATAATTAATAAGAAGGCTGTGGTCAAGTAAATAATAAAATTATTTTTAAAAAGTGTGACTGCTGAGAGCAACCGATTCTGGAACTAGGGACACCGGCCCTCGCGGCCAAAAAACGGACCGGCCCACCGGGAAGTCTCCCGGTCCTCCTGATTAGCCAATCCGGGCCTGATTCTTGTTAACTTCTGGCCACAACTGTGTCTGATCTAGCAACAACCCTGTTTCATGACCAAAACAAGACAAATTTATTCACAAAGTGTTCATTCGGATGTCACACCAATGTTGAAACAAAACGAGACAAGAACAAAGCATTACCAACTGGTATTAAAGCATTATAAAATTGTATCAGCCATGGAATCGAACCCACTATCCCAGCATGGTAGTCAAAAACCTTAACCACCCCACTAAATCAATTAATGGTTTAGGCCTGCAAAGTGGGGTTTAATACCTCAATTTGCTCAACTGTTATTTGCTGAAGCCGTTTCAGTGCAATACAAAAATTACCACTAGGTGTCAGCGTAGAGTGGGGTTTCGAAACGTTTCGAAGCTTCGACACATTTGCTTCGACTGTTTCAGGGTTTCATGAAGCCTTACTTTGCCCACCACTAAGGAAAATATATGAATGAATGAATGTTTTATGTTGCAATGACTTGGATAAGATGAGCAAAGTTTTATTTTCGACACATGCAGTCAAACTAAAGAGTTTTAAAATGACTCTTCTTCTCTCCGTGCTGAGAAAAACATCTGAAATGTTACATTTTTGGTGTTATGTTTATATATAGTCAAACTATCATTAAATCTTCAACTGGCTTAATAGTGTCAGAGATTTATAGGGCTGGTTGAAATATACTCATATCACAGTGATCTCATGCTTTCTTAACTACTGTTTTCTGTAAACTTTCTTAAGCGTTTACTAATTATTGAGAGGACAGCATACAGCACATTTTTACATATTTTATATATTCGGCCATTAAGTCAGGTTAAGTTTTTTTTTTACTGTACTAAGTGTGATCTTGAGCATTTAAAGTGATAGTTCACTTCAAACCTTTATGAATTTTCTTCTGTTGAACACAAAAGCAGATATTTTGAAAAATGTTGGTGAGCTGTAACTCTGTTTATCCTACTATGGAAGAAACTACCACTACTATCCTACTAAAGAAAGGAACTCGTAGAGGTTTGGAACCACTTGAGGATGAGTAAATAGTTTGTAAATTTTCATTTTTTTGTGAACTATCCCTTTAAGGTGCTGTCAGGGTCGGTGAGGGAAAAAAAGGAGTGCAGACCCAATTGCAGAAGAAATGTAGAAATATTTATTATAAACTACAAATAAAAATAAAAGGCAAAACAAAACTACCCCGAAGGGGAAAACATGAATTAAAAAGGCAAAAACAAACTTGACAGGGCTGGCAGGACAAAACAGGACTGGACACAACAAGACAGGGTAATATCGACGACGAACTGGCAAAGGACTGAAAACATGAGGGAGATTATAAAGCAAAAAGTAAATTGACACAAAGGTGAACATGACAAACTAATAATGAGTAAACCAGGAGGGAGTGACTAGACAATAGACGGGAGAGCGCATGACACAGAGAGACAATACAAGCCATGCGCTCACATAACACTACACTGAAGCACACGACAAAAGCACGTGACCACAATGTAAACACCGAGCCACGTGCTTTGACAAAAGACGCAAGACACGAGCACACGATGAATGAAAGCACTCACCGTGCGCTCACACACGCAGCGTGCATGCTTCATCCCAGCGCCGACCAAAACCAACAAGACTGAGACGCTGGGAATGAAACACCACGCTGCTGACAGACGAAAACACAAACACGAGTACAAGAGCGCACGCGTCTGAGGGATGCAGAGCGCGCGCGCGGCCGCGTCAAGCAGGAGCGCGCACACTCTACGTACACCCACGACGGCGCGCGCTCACACAGAGACAGAAACAGGACCAGACATGAGAAGTGTCAGAGCTCTGCCACCAAAACAAGAATTTTCAAGACCAAAGTGGCAGAACCCTGACAGGTGCTCTGTGCATTTCATTTAATGGCCACTGGTGTTGCTACTTATTTTGCACTGCTAGATTGAGTACAAGTAAAACTAAAATGAAAATTATTTTTTAATTATGTATACAGTTGAAGTCAGAATTATTAGACCCCCTGGTAATTTTCACCCCAATTTCTGTTTAAAGGAGAGAAGATTTTTATCAGCACATTTCTAAACATAATCGTTTTAATACCTCTTAAAAGTCTCATTTAATCTTTCTTGTTTGTCTCTCTCTCTTGTTTGTCACTTTCCAGACTGCTCAAGTGAGGTCAAGGTGTATTATGGTTTAGATTTTCATGTTTCACTGAATGATATATCACAGCCGTTGCGCATCGGCTTTCGCCACAGTGCAGTGGAGGCCAATCAGACGTCACTGCCTGCTGCCAACCTGCTAAATGATGATGGGACGCCCAAGGAGACTTACCAGGAGCGGCTCAAGATCGATCCTCAAAAGTTCGTTTTGCGTGCTGTCACAGGGGCTGATGAGGGCAGTTACACCTTCAGTGATTCCAATGGCAAAGTCAAGAAGAAGATTTGCCTGAATGTGAAAGGTAAGATTCACATCTTACCTTTCAGAAAGCGGCCGAGAAATCATAAAGTGCAGGGTCAACATATTACACACAGTTTTGTTTGCATCACAGGCTAAACACAATCTATATAGGCTATATAATGTTTAGGAAATTTGCTTGTTCACTATTTTAGTTGTTATTAAAATGCATCTTAATGATCGTGTGATGTAGGGGCGGACGAGAGAGTTATCTGTAAAGCTGCATTGAGTTTGCCCCAAAAAGATAAGCTTAGCATCTGTCAGTTGGTCTGTCCTGCCTGGGTGTTTTTGCCAATTAGTTGTTGTTTTTTTTATTTAGTTCACCAGTATTATTTTTCTTCTTCTTCAAATAGATCTCTTCAGAGATCCTCCTTGCTTGTTCTTTCACATTTAACTTGAACATACGGTTGAAGTCAGAATTATTAGCCCCCCTGTTTATTTCTGTTTAACAGAGAAAATACTTTTTCAACACATTTCTAATCATAATCATAATAACTTATTTCTAATAACTGATTTATTTTATCTTTGTCATGATGACAGTACATAATATTTGACTAGATATTTTTCAAGATACTAGTATTTAGCTGAAAGTTACATTTAAAGGCTTCACTAGGTTTGTTCGATGGTTTGTTCTTTAGACAATCAGGAAAACAATAGCCTAAAGGGGCTAATAATTTTGACTTTAAAATGATTTTTAAAAAATTTAAAACTGCTTTTATTCTAGCCGAAATAAAACAAATACGACTTTCGCCAGAAGGAAAAATATTATCAGTCATACTGTGAAAATTTCCTTGCTGTTAAACATCATTTGGGAAATATTTAAAAAAGAAACAAAAATTCAAAAGGGATGAATAATTCTGACTTCAACTCTAAATGGATGTGGAGGGAGACAATATTATAGGATATCGAGCTATTTTTAAAGGCGATTATTGATACAATTTTGACAAATCGCCCAGCTTTAAAATGAACTCTTCAAAGCACTTCAATGTAAATGCACCGGCGAACTATTCCTTTAAGTACAGAAATTATTCACACTATAGGCAAGCTGATATAAAAAAAAAATATGAATAGTTTTTGAGGGAGGAATAAAGTATGTGAAGGAAAATAGTCAGCCGTTGAAATAAATAATCCTAAAATTAGCCATGAGAACTGAAATAGGATCGCAGTGTGATGCAAAAGGGGCTTGTATCTTCCTGAAAGGATTTATTTTGCAATAATACTCAAATAGCTGTACATTTTCCTGCATTAGATGGCTATAAATAAATAGAAATATTGATTCATGGGGAAATTGTATGATTATATAGAGAAAAGAGGCCACAGAGTGATGTGAGATATTTGAAACTATCAACTAGTTTTTTTTGTCATAGACAACAGTCAGAGTTGTAGACATTAAACACAAATTTTGGTGGAAGAATGCTGCAATTGTCAAGTTATAAATGCAAGATTATGTTTGGCATATATAGTGGTGTAAAGTAACTAATTACAAATACTCAAGTTACTGTAATTGAGTAGTTTTTCTGAGAAATTATAATTAACTAAGTAGTTTTAAAAATGTGTACTTTTACTCTCACTTGAGTACATTTTTAGTGCTGTATCTGTACTTTTTACTCCACTACTTTCCTTCAACCTGCAGTCACTACTTTATTTTTTCTTGTTTATGGGAGTCCTGTGATTCCTGTCCAATCAAATCACACATAGAAGGTAAACTGCATCATTATGAAATACTTCAAGCCATGTGCACTTTACATTGCAGCAAACTGTTTGGAAGCATTAAAAGTGTCCAAGAAGATGTTTAAAATCTTTACACGCAATGACCCAGAGACTGTTTAGATCAGGGATGCCTAAACACAGTCCTAGAGGGCCGATGTCCTGCAGATTTTAGCTCCAACTTGCCTCAACACACCTGCACAGATGTTTCTAGAAAGCCTGGTATGAGATTGATTAGCTAGCCCAGGTGCATCTAATTGGGATTGGAACTAAACTTTGCAGGACACCGGCCCCTAAGGACCGAGTTTGAGCACCCCTGGTTTAGATGCTGATGAGAAGATGATGGATATTTACTGTATGATGACCGAAATGGCCTTAAGCACCCAGCAGGCACAAGACATCAACATGCCGTCAGATTGAAATTGTACCCTAACGGCGTGGAGACGCTGCATTTTGTTTGGAAATGAAAATCGGGTTTACATTAGAACTCAACGTCAGCCCGATGTCACTGTCCAACCAAATATCAACGTCTAATGATGTTACAGCTTGACGTTGTGTCGACGTTACCACTATGACGTCTATCAGGTGTTCAATTTTGGTTGCCATACCTGATGAATAAATGTCAGTATTTGACGTCAATAGGATGTTGGTTTAAGATGTTGGCTCGATATTGGATTTTGGTCACTTTCTAACAACTTAAAATCAACCAAATATCAACGCCATTTGATGTCATTATTGGACATCAAAATAATAATGTCCTTAAACGCTGGCCAGACATTGAATTTTGGTCACCTGACATCACAACCTAAATCTAACCTAATATTAACGTCTTATGACATTGTGTGCCTGCTGGGCAATAAGTAAATGCACTACAGAATGTTACGTTTACACACATCCACAATTTACATTTACATGCATCAACTTTTAACAGCATTATACTCACTACTCACTACTCATGAGTACTTTTAAAAGGGCTACTTTTTACTCTTACTTTGAGTAATATTTACAACAGGTACTTTTACTCTACTCACACTACATTTTTAGGCAAGTGATGGTACTTTTACTTAAGTATGCTTTTTCAGTACTCCTTTCACCACTGGGCATAAACACTTCCAGAAACAGGGTTTTGCAGTAATGCCATGAAAGATCCATTATTTTCTGCTATAACGTTTTTCTTTAGGGAAAATATAAGCAACCTTAATTTTTAAGAGTGTACATTCAGAGGAAAACTCTTTAGGTATGTCATAAAACCAAAAAAGATTGGTAGGGGAAGTTCTAAAAGAGGAAGAGAGACAACTAGAATACCTAGAATTTCTGTAGCAATTAATCTCTAAAAAATCTATGATTTCTCCCTACTGTTTTCCCCCCTTTTTCTTGACTCTTGACATCATCTTAGATTAAAAAGCTGAGTATCACGGCTTCAATAACATATTTCCTTCCTGCTGTCCCTCCTTCTTTCTCACTTCCAGAACATCAGGTATTTGAACCCGTTTCATACGGTGACACTGTGAAAATAAACCTGCACTTGAATAGGTCTTTAGTCCGCCTGAACTACACCCCTGAGTCCGATAAGCTCAAGTATTTGATTATGGAGAGCGGAGAGCTCAGTGTGCCTCCTAACCTGGACCTCGAGGGTCGCCTTACTTTGGAGGACTCTGTGTGTGTCCTGACGGATGTGAAGGCCAGCGATGCCGGTGTTTTCAGTGTGACGGACCTTCAGGGATTCTTGGTGTCTGAGTTCCACCTGAGTCTGAAACGTGAGATTTAAGATGACAGATGAAAATTAAATAAACTGCTCATTTAATTTTGATGTTTTGGACTTACTGATGTATCTCCCTCTCTTATTTCTCAGCCTACAGTATTCCAAGACTGTACATTGCCATCATCGCTCTGGTAGCATTATTGGTGTTGCTGCTGTTGGTGTGCTTGGTGTCGTGTTTGGTGAAGATACGCAAACGTGCAGCAAAGGCCAGAGCCATTGAGGAGAAAGCCCAGAATGCTGGAAAAGTGGAAGGAGATGCCTTCAGACAGGTATTTACCAATTTACTCCATTTTGGGCTGAAGTGTGGTGCGATTCTGGAGTTAGGTCTTAATTTCAGTAGTCATCTCAAAGCATAACTAAAACAGCATATTATTACCTCAAAAACATCACAAGTATTAGATGTTGTGTTTCCAGTGAAGACTTAAAGACACATGTTCATGCTTATATCACCAGCTGGTTGGATTACTGTAATGGACTCCTTATCGGCCATCTCAAAGGACAGTTAGATTCTGGTATTCTGACCAGAAACAAAAAATCTAAGCATTTTACTCCAGTCCTCGGGTCCCTAGGCTGGGTTCCAGTTAAATATAGAGTAGATTTTAAAGTTAAAATCACTTAAAATTATTTATTTTAAAAATCACATGGCCTAGGACACCTCAATACATTGCAGTTATGGTCACTGGAACCTAATGCCGAGTTCAGACTGCAAGATTTTTACAGTAGTCGTGTCACAGATGTTTTCACACTGCATGACTATCTGGGCTAGCGTTTCATCGCTGCTTTGTTTACACTGCAAGATGGATCGGCGACAGGGACTTTCACATTGCATGACTTTACTATAGGAAGAATCGCCGACAACTTCGTCCAAACTACGTCTCAGCCAAAAACACGTAGTATATCTTTTGTTATTACCTACATTATGAGAAAGAAGCATTTAATGGGGTAAAAAATGTACATATTTGCTCACCTGGGTTTAAAGGGAATTAGCCATTTCTACTCAACGTTGATAATAAACTAATTTCTTTCTGTATGAAACGTCAAACAGACACGGGTGCTCCTCCTGAGTTCTGTCAAACCTCCACTAGTTTTTCCTCCATTTCGTGGGTCCAAATAAACCGAAAAAGAGCGCTTTTAACTTCTCCCCCAGCCTCCCGCTGGCCTGCAGCAGGTATACACACACGCACACACAAGTGAAAGCTGCTCTCTCATTGATTGTAGGTGATGGCTGATGTTATTTTCAGTCAAAACTTAATTCACACGGTATGATTTGAATCGCTGACAGCTCCAGATATTTAACATGCCAAATATCTCACAGGCATCGGCGACTCATCAGCGATTCTCTCAGATTGCGTCTTTGATAGTTCATACTGTGTGATTGTCACTCACGTGCACGAGCACCGATTTGCCTGTGATTTCAGGCATTTGTCGGCGATTTCTCAAAACCTGTCGGCGAGCCAAAATCGGGGCTAAAATCACGCAGTCTGAACTAGGCATAAGTGACATCCCAGATTTTTAAGATCTGAGTCAGAGAGGAGGGGAATCCACTTTCAGCTACTATGCTACCCGCTTCTGGTACCGGCTTACAGAAATGATTAGAAGTGTTCCGGTTGTAGGCACACTCAAATCAAAACTTAAAGACTTCATTTTAAAGTGGTTCGTACTGTCGTCTCACAGCAAGAAGGTTGCTGGTTCGAGTCCTGGTTGGGCTAGGTGGGATTTCTGTCTGGAGTTTTTGTGTTCTTCCCGCGTTTACGTGGGTTTCCTCAGTGTGCTCCAGTTTCCCCCACAGTTCAAAGACATGTGCTATAAGTGAACTGGATAAACATAATTAGGAATAGTGTATGAGTACGTGTATGTGAATAGGAGAGTGTATGGGTGTTTGCCCAGAACTGGGGGTCTACAGGTTAGGGACACTCACACCATGGGGAGACGGGAGGCGAGACAAGCGTGCTTTGGCCCGGTTCAAGGCAACTTTTCATAGTGTGAGTACGCCTTTAGTGTACTCTCAGTGCTGGGTCGGGAAGGGCTTCCCTAGCATAAAACTTATGCTAGAGAATTGGCGACTCCTGGTAAATCAGAAAGCCGAAGGAAAGTGAGTGTTAGAGAATGCTTTCAAACCCCACTTAGTAACTTCAGATCAAACACATTTGCTGTTTTACATTCTCATATGCTATTTTATGTTTTTAAAAGATGCATTTGCTAAGTCTTTTGCTCATATTTATGCAGGTTGTGAAAGACGCCTGTACCCGTCAAAATGAGGAAGCCCCAGCCCTATCACAGAAAGAAGACATTACTGAAAAATCACAGAGCACAGAGGTCAGCATTAAGGTGAGCACTAGAAATGTGGAAAACTTTTTAGATTATATATTTATAGCTTAAGCATTTGCTATTTTTCTACTGCATGATTTTAGTTGGTAGTGCTCATTTTATAGGTTGAAGGAGTTACTGTACCCAATGCTTGGTTCTTTTTTTTAGCGGCCTTCTTTTGAGCCATACCGATATTAAAATATGATGTGTAAGAGTTATGTCACACAGTGAAAAGTGGCTTATAATGCTGAATTTTGACTAATGTTGTTGAAATGTTCCAAGGACACTAAATTCTGTGTATGTTTTTCAGGGTTTGGAAGTGTCTACAAAAGAGCCAAGTCTACAAGAGAGGAATATGGAGACCAGTGACTCTGGAGTGGGCTTTAATACCACAGGGCTCCCGCTTGACAGTGACACAGATGCCCCAACAGCAGCCATAGCAGATTCTGATGTTTTAAGTTCCTCTGCTGCCCCGGAAATCAAAGCTGTTCCCAACCAAATTCCAGAACCAAAGACGACCCCCTCCCCTCCAAAACCAGCATCAGCTTCTGATCTCAAACCAACACCCGTGGTCAAGTCAACAGCTCCTCCACCACCTTCTCCTGAACCCAAGCCTCCAGTAACACCTGAACCCAAACCTGCAGTCACACCAACACCTGAACCCAAACCTGCTGCTACACCTGAACCAAAAATGACCATCTCGCCACCACCTGAAACAAAACCAACCTTAACCCCATCACCTGAACCCAAACATCCTGTGATACCTGACCCAAAACCAACAAGTCCGGCACCTGAGGCTAAACCAATTCCAAGCCCAACTCCTGAACCTCCAAAAGCAGTAACACCAACTCCTGATGCAAAACCAGCCATTACTCCAGATGCCAAACCAGCTGTTTCACCTACTCCAGAACCCACACCAGCTAAAATTGGCACTCCTGAACAGAAACCTGCTGTGAGCCCCACACCTGGTCCCAAGACTCCAGATCCTAAAGCAGTTTCTCCAGTCCCTGAGCTTAAACCAACTTCGCCCACTCCACAGTCTAAATCACCAATCTCACCAATTCTCGACTCAAAACCAACTACAAATGGCACTCCTGAATCCAAGGCTGAATTAGGATCAGAGCCAAGTGCGCCCCTGTCTCCTGGGCTGGATGTGAAGGGCACTACCCCTCCCAAAACCCCTGATACCGGGAAAAGCTCAGTTAAAACTCCTGAGCTCATCTCCACTGGAGGTCTTGACTCGGCTTCAACCAATGACAGTGCACCGCCTCCAAGCACCGATGGAGCGGCCACCAACTGAGATTAAAACCATAGCCTCTTCCTGCCTCCTCCTAGTGTATTAACCACCACAGACAATCGAGACACTTGTCTTAACAACAAATAAGAGCTAAGTGACTTCCTAAGGAGGTGGGGTCTTTTGAGTCTCACTTTTAATACGATTAACATGCATCAATAGAAAGATCCACTGTAAATCCACTCAGTTTACTAATATTTAGTCACCACATAAAAGGGTTTGAATACAGAGATGAAGCACTCCAGACCCTACACTATTGGCTGATTTAATACAGAACGAGGGAGGCTGTTCCAAGAAAGTGTACAAAGACAAATGTTCCTTCACAGAAATAATACATCACTGCATGAAGATATTGAAAAAATAAATGATATTATCAGTTCTGTAATCCAAGATTACTACAGTTGAATTTGGGGAAGGCACCCAGGGGCATGGGACATTAATCATTTTCATTCTATACGAAATCATTTCTGCTCCATTTTGAAAAGTTAGAGACTCCGAATTGCAGGATTGATACTGAGGAAGCAGTGTGGCAAGTTTCTGCTATTTATGGACTGGAAAATGGAAACGCCTTGTGTCACTTTGACACATGCAAGTCAACGTCATTTTGACAAGAGATAAACTAGGCAACTCCTAGAGTAAAGTGCAGTGCAAAGCCAAACGAAGAAAATCCATTTGACCAAAAACATCACAATCCTTCATAGACTAATCTGTGACTTTGTGCCTGGAGGACATTTTTGAAAATCTTCTTCTATCAGTCCAACCTAAGACACAAGCTGTTCTTATCCAGAGATGTGACTGACCACATTTCTGTCCATTCAGTAACAAAAATATTACTGTGGAAATATTCCTCAATTGTTTCTGTGAGCAAGATCCCTTCATACAACTGACAACCTTGTCGGCAACAGGTACAAGTTACTTCTTTGAGTGAGTTGTTTTCAGACTAATCGATCTTGATGGGGAGGCTGAAGGACCCAAAAAGATGTTATATAAATCAGGTGTTGACACATGTACACCCAAAAAGTCTGCTGATTCCCATCTTACTTCCCAGAACTGAGTTGTCAGTTGTGGAGAATGTGGCAGACTACTGCTACATGGTATAGTTTTACTGGCACCTTATGCCAAGGTCAGACTGCAGGATTTTTAAAGTAGTTGTGTCACAGATGTTTTCACACTGCATGACTATCTGAGGTAGCGTTCCGTCTGTGCTGTGTTTACACTGTAGGACGGATCGGCAAGAGGGGGTTTCACACTCAATGACATTACAATATGAGAATAGCTGCCAACTTTGTCTCGGTTCACAAACTACGTCTCTCATAACCAAACACACAAAAGAAGTGACATGGAAGCAACGTGAGGTGACGTAGTATATCTTTTGATTGTAACTACATAATCAAAGAGAAACATTTAGTGGGGTAGAAAATGTCCTTAATTTGCTCACCTGGCCTTTAAAGAGAATTGACAATTTTTCTTAAGCTTTTTTCTTTTTCGACCCGGTTGTGGTATCGCTTAGATGACACGTCAAAAGACACGGGTGCCATCGGTGCCAATAGCTTAGTGATTAAGTGCGTCGACATTTAGCACTAAGGTGCTCATGGAGACCTGAGTTTGATTCCCGGCTTGAGGTCCTTTGCCAATCCCTCCCATCTCTGTGCTCTTGGGTCCAAATAGACCGAAAAGAAACACTTTTAATTTCTCCCTCAACCTCCTGTTGACCTGCAGATATCCACACTCATGGATGCTGCTCTGTCATTGGCTGTAGATAATCACCAATGTTATTTTTAATCAGAACACATTTCACACGGGGTGACGCAGTAGGTAGTGCTGCTGCCGCCTCACAGCAAGAAGGTCGCTGGGTCACTGGTTCGTACCTCGGCTCGGCTCAGTAGGCGTTTCTGTGTGGAGTTTGCGTGTTCTCCCTGCGTTCGCGTCGGTTTCCACTGGTTGCTCCGGTTTCCCCCACAGTCCAAAGACATGTGGTACAGGTAAATTGGGTTGGCTAAATTGTCCGTAGTGAATGAGTGTGTGTATGAATGAGTGTGTAGATGTTTCCCAGAGATGGGTTGCGGCTGGAAGGGCATCCCCTGTGTAAAAATGTGCTGGATAAGTTGGCGTTTCATTCCGCTGTGGCGACCCTGGATTAATAAAGGGACTACGCTGACAAGAAAATGAATGAATGAATGAACATTTCAAACGGCATGATTTTGAACATGCTCAGATATCTCACGGGTGACTCATTGGCAATTCTCTCAGATTGCATCTTTGGTAGTTTACAGTGTGATTGTTACTCACGTGACCGACATTTGTCGGCGATTTCGCAAAACCTGTCAGTGAGTCAAAATCGAGGCTAAAGTCTTGCTGTCTGAACTTGGCATCACAGTATCACTCAACCAGCTGAATGGGCTAAAAAGAAATTGAACAACACATGATTTCATCCCTATTTGATGAATACCACCCAGGATTGACAATGTACTCAAACATCTCGATCTAAATTTTATAGACTGCTCACTTTACAGAGCTACAATAGCATAGTGTTAAATAGCCTTGACTCTGAATCTATGAGCAGGGAATTAGCCCCAGAATGTCATGCCATGGTAAAATCTGCTTGTTCATGTTGTATGAGGAACAGTTAGACATAAGTTAATTTATAAGATCTAAATATCTTGTGTTGTTTCAGGTTGATCTACAGCGTTCAACAAATAGGTTTGGAGTCATAGTTGAAAGACAATACAGTTTTACATATCAGTTTACAGATAAATCCCTGGTGCCTCCTCTAGAGCCTGAAAACCACTGCCTGTTAATGTTGTATATGTCCAGGAAATCGCTCTTACCAAACTGTCTGTGGGAGCTGATGGTAAATCACAGTGATTAGCGGGGATGATACGTAACGAAATGTGTATCAAGATCTTTATGCATGGGCGGATCTGACAGGCTGGGGGTTTGTGGGTAAATTTACTAACCGAAGATGATCACTACCTCACATTTAAGCTGGATTAAAATACTAAATAACTAATTAAACACATTGTAAGGTATGTTGACATAAAAAGAAAAACAAAATACAGTTTTGTGGCAAAGCACAAGGTTTTAAATACAATCAAAGGTTTACAAAACACAATCGGATATTTGGCAATGCCTTCCCCACAAACCTCTGAAAATGGCCTTGTTCTCAGCATTTAACAGCTATTTTCATATCAGCGCAAGGAACTGACACTTGTAAGCCATACCACCCTCACATCTCATAATGTAAATATCACAAACCCTAGATGTCATAACCCCAGGTGCACTGTAGCATTCAAAGTTAAAACGATATATTAGCTGACAAAACTGGCTTTATGAAAAATGTGGATACATAGTTAATCTGACACAGAATTATGAGCACATCTGGACTTTTTTTGACATGCACTTGTAAATTTCTGTATGTGCTGCCTGATTGGAGAGTGATTTCGGACCTGCACTGACACCTAGTGGTTTGGAGGCATTGATAAACCAATAGTTTTAGGTTACCCGTGCTTGTTTAGAAACACTATGTTTGCAGTCGGCTGCAATAGCGTTGCGTAAATTGGCATGTTCGCCTTTAATGGAGGTTCATTTTGATTGTGTTTGTTAATATGGGGATTTCTGAGTAGGATTTGGCTGGTTACATGGCAGTACCCAGGAGTTTACTGGTGGTGTAACGTATCACAAATCTCACTGTTCGGATCACATTATAGTTTTTTTGTCACAAATCAGACCATTTTTCAGATCAGCCAAAAAGGCGAGGAGACTAATGTAATTTGCTTTCCATTTATTACAAAAACCGTACTGCAAGACACTTTTGGGTTTAAAAAAATGAATCTTATAACCTGTAATTTTGTTAAAAATAAAATGAAGAAATAATCAGCTGAATAAAAATAAATTGTAAAATATTCGATGAAAAGTTCACTTTTACTACTACTGTTACTGATAACATTAAATGTATAAATCTAAGCTTATAATTTTTACAATTCTTTTTTATTTTTAGTCTCATTTTCAATAAATGATTCAGATATTCACTCATAAAACTTCATGTTTCATTGCTAGATTTGTCATTTTTAGAGAATTATTTAGTGGCATGTTTTTGATGGCTGGTTGTCACCATCGATTGGTTAAATTATGTAATTGCTGCCTACAACTTTTATTTTTGAGCATATGACGGTGATTTTAATCTTTACCATAAACTTCAGTGGTTTGATCTAAATTACAAATTATTATTCCAGTACTTCTAGTACTAGCTCAATAGACTAAAGACTGAATCTCTTTCATGATTTTTAAAGGATTAATAAGCATAAGCTAATCACCATTAGTTATAATTCATATTGCGTGGGTGTTGAGATCCCGATCTTTTAATGATTAATCGTGCAGCTTACACTGAATGCGTTATTGCAGGCTAAACTAGAAGTAACTGTAAACACCTTTAATAACCCAGGAAACCCACCACATGCCAAATAACCTTCCAGAACTTTTTTTCCGTCATCATTATATTTTACAGAAAAGCCTAAATGCTTTCATACATGTGATGTGAATAAAGCAAGAGGTGATCTCTCTGTGATTTTTACAAAATTAGGATTAATCTAAAAGTTAAATTGATGTATTAATCCGCAGGTCACGTGTGTTCCGAACCGTGGGTTGTGATCCGTATGAATCACTCATCAAACTTAATCCATTACACCCCTAGAGGTGACCCACTGCACTTTTGTAGGGAGCTGATTTTAAACATATAGGCTTATCTATCAATTATTTATGTGCCTATTTCAAGCAAATTGAGTCCAGTTGACTCTTTCACTTTGTTTGGAGAAAGAAAAGGAGGCGATATTGAAGAAAGAACACCTAAGCAATATAAAAATGTGCAGATACACACATATATACGTGCACAAATGCATAATAATAATGCTGTCAACTTTGTATTGCGAGGTTCTGTAGGTTGGCCTTTACTTTTCAGTGTATTTTGTTTTCACACCCATTCACAGGTAGCAACATATTGTTTTTTGTCAAGTTTTATGAAATGCAAAACCTATAAACACAATGTAGCATAACATGCATACATTTTCTCATTGACTGTTTCAAAAACCCTTTTTTAAAGGGATAGTTCACCCAAAAAGGAAAATGACCTTATCATTTATTCTTCCTCATGCAGTTTTAACCCTTTGGGCTCTATCATTCACCTAACGCAATAAGGTGCTAGATGGCGCGATTTGTTGCTATTTTCAGACCAACGCAATTGAAATTTTCATGTTTTGCGTCAAGTTGTTTAAATAGCAAATCCATTTGCACCACTTTTCGGACTTGTGTGCCATTCTAGAAAGGAGGTGTGTTAAGGTATAGACCACACCATTGACCAACTGAAAGTTGGTGACAAAACGCATTTGTTATGCGCCTATGCAGGCATACACATTGCCAAAAAGCATACACATTGTTTAATACACACATGATGTAAAGCAATACATAAATATCTTTTCATATGAAAAAAATAAAGGATTTAAATATTACAAAATTATTTTTTCTACATAATTAGAAAAACCACTGCCTCCATTCCTTCTTTATGTCGCGGGGCTTTTTTCAGTTTATTCATGACAATTTGCATAATGTTATTGTATATTGTTATTATTATTAGTGGTATTATTTATTAAATACAACTAAATGCAAATTTAATAAAAACAATTATAGATTTGTCCATCTGTCGGTTTTGGAGACGTATCCATCACCATATGGGGCAAAAGAATAGGACGTGTGTTTGGATATAACTCACTTCGTTATTATTGTTCATTTATTATTCATTAGTTTGTAGTAAATTAGAACTGAATTTGGAAATAGTTTTTAAACAAACATGTGCGCTTAACAAACTAAATTAAATATGTAAGTTCATGGATGTCTTCAGCAGAGTGCGTACACAGGGTGTCCGCGGGGTCTTAAAGATTTGTAAAACTTGATAAATTAATGATGAAAAAATGAAAGCCCATAAAGGGTATTAAAAAGTCTTAATTGCGTTTACACGAGGTCTTAAATTTTGTTCAAGCTTTGTCTAAAGTGTTTGACTCCAAAAAAAACATAAGTATATTTATTTTCCTCCTAATATTAACAACAGCGTTCTTGATTGACGCGATTGGTTCAGGTCGGTGTGCATCCTACCAAGCTCCTACGCCCTGGTGATGTTACGTAGTTAGCAACAAACGCTGGAAAGTGATGTTATGTTCTCCACATGCATTAAAACTATAGAGTGAAACAGACGGCAAAATGTGAAAATGTAAGTTTGCTTACTCCTGGTTGGGGAAAGACAAGTTTAAACAGTGGCTGAAGCCTGTCGCTGAAAACAATCACGTAATTTATTCTTTCAAGCTTTGTTTCTTCTGAGTTCTGTTGCATGATTGTGCTCCATTGATTTATTTAACTACAACTGTTTATTAACAACTGTTTATTAAGTTAAAAGTTTGATACTGATTAGAACTTGAAGTGGCAATGAGATATTCTGAGAAGGTCTATAAAAAGTCTTAAAAAGGTATTGAAATTATCTTGAGGATTTCTGCATGTACCCGGGTAAAACACTGTTTCCTTATCCATGAAAGTAAAGAAGTAAAGAGTAAAAGTAAAGAGAAAGTAAGAAAGAGGGCGAATTGAAGGAGGCTTGTTCTTTATCCTTGCGCTGCAGATAATCTGTTTAACTGTTTTCTCATTAGTGAAGCATTCAGTTTTCCACTTACAAAGTCTGCCATGTAAATAGCAAATGCACCATGGCGCAACACAACTGGCTCTTAAAGTGAATGTAAGATGAGACTCTAATTGGTTTAGTGCACCTTATGCTCAAAGAACACCCATAACTCATTAAGAGAAGAAGCACAACCCTGTTTGACCAGGGTGCAAAGTGTATTTTTCCATCCTTAAAGTAGCAAACGTGGATTCGGACACGTTCTTAATGCTTTTGCACCATGTGCTTTAGACTTTGCGTCTAGATCATTAAAATAAAGCCCTTAATGAGCTTCTTTCTTCTGTTGAACATATGTATTTTAGCGTATAAATATTATGGAGGCCAGAGGGTCCCATGAACCAGCATTTTTCACAATATCTTCTTTTGTGTTCAACAGAAAAAAGAAACACAAATAGGTTTTTAAACAAGGAGGAGTAAATGATGACATAATTTTCATTTTGGGTCAACCATCAATTCAATTTCCAGCAGATGATATCATATTTAAGTGCATCTCTGTAATGCGCGTCATGCAGGTTTCCAGGCAAAATCAATAGTCCTCTGGTCACTCGATGAATCACCACAGCAGTTCATGTTAAACATATTTGTTACCCTTCAGGACACTGCCACTGATATAAGTCAAATATCATGACGTCATGATTGCTGTCTGTTTTTGTATTTTGTATGTCGATGCTTGTAAGTTGTGTGTATGTGGGTGCAATGTGGTATTTTTGACGAGAGATTATAGATGTTATTCCTCATCTGCAACGTCAGGAGACCTGTATGTGTTTGTACAAGTGCATGCGAGTATGTCTGTGTGTGTTAGCAACAATCGCCATTGGATAGCTGTCATTTCAATGCAATTAGCAATGTCCTCTTTCTCCCCGGCTGGCAGGTAATTGCTGTTCCCTTTTAAGTGGTATTAAAGACAGATTCAATTTAAGGGAGTGCGCAGAGCGAGATTTATATCAGACTCCATGCTATCTTACTAGACTGCATCTGTTTTGATACTGAGATAACTGTATATTGAAGGTCATTGTGATTTTAATTGACACTCAAGATTACACCAATGGATAGTAGTTTGGTTTATGTAGTGCTTCTCCCCTGCTCAAGACAATTTACAACAAAACAAACACTGAAGTAACGATGCATCGTCATTGCAGTCTATCATTGCATGCTTTAGTTACGCTCCCATAGTGTGTATCCGTGATAGTGTGCTCATGCGTATGTAGGAGGTAGTGTGTAAACGTCTATAAGAAGTACCGCTTTTCATATATCGCACGAGTCTACAGGTCTCCGATCGGATAATTACATTGCGTAAAACATCCCGTCCATTGATGTCACCAAGTCACCTTGTAACTTTTCATTTCATTGATTAGACCTGATTGGTCAATGACATGCTGAAGGGCATTAAAGGGATAGTTGACCCTCAAAAGAACTCCCCTCATGTCATCTTAATGGTGTCTGACTGGCTTTTAATCGTCTATACTGTGAAAGTCAATGGAGTTAAAGGTGCAATAGTTGATTGTCTTCCTAAATTATTTCTGTTATGCTAGTTTAAAATATAGCGATTATTAAATGTTGTCCAGATGTATTTATATGCATTTTATTGTTCATTTCAATGAAGGTGTGGGACCAGTGTTTAATTTGAGCCTGATTCTGTTCCGGTAAATATCAGAGTGTTTTCCAGTATTTATTTTAAATGATTCGGCATTGACTTGTGCTTGTGCTATATAAGTGTGTGTATGGACAAACCAGCAGGCTGAGCACACTGTAAAACATCTGGGGCCTCATGTATCAACTAGGGTTGTAACGGTATGAATTTTTTACAGTATGATAATCGTCTAAAACAATACCACGGTTTGGCGGTTTTGCGGTATACGGTATGTTACAAATGTTACAAAATAATAGAACAATGAAGCAAATTTGACTTTTTCCAAATAATATATTTTCAGTTACTATAAACAACACCACTTACAATGAACAAATAAAAAAAATAAGAAAATAATAAATGATGTGTCAAAGTCCAAATAAAGTCCAAATAAACATGGTGCAAATCCTCAGTAAAAAATAGATATAAATATTTACTATCCTATAAATAGTTACATAACGAAACTAGATTCAATATGGAACATCCTTAGGTTTTATGTGCCAGCATGGATATGGTTGTCTGTGGATATGGATTTGGATATGGTTGTCTGCAATGCAGACAAACAGCTGCACCTTCATTTGCGTCTTTTGAAAACAGCAAGAGCAGCAGTTCGTCTTTGCTGTGTCACTGTTTTGTCATGTTTCTGTGCTGCTGTGCATGCAAAAGTACTTATGAGAATTATTTCATGCAAAACTTTTTTTTTTGCGTTTTATTTAGCCGCGCATAAATGTATGCCTATCTCTCATTCCGTGTTGTTCAAAAAGGTCATTGTTGGTCCACAAACAAAAGCGAAACCTATGCTTATTGGTTGTGATATAGCGAGTTTGAACCAATCTGGGCATGGAGGAGGGACAATGCATCAATGTATTATGTCTGGTTTGTCCGGAGACACAGTGACGAGCGTTTCTTTGTCAAATCAGCGTTGTCAAATTTTGATGACGTAACCGCACTGATTCCGGAGCCTCTGAAAGTCTAGTATCAACCCTAGTATCAACGCTGCGTACACAAAAACTTTGCGTATGGCAGGTTTCACGCTCACGTTTGGATTTACTAATGATGGAATGAACGCGAGAATGTGCGTTAGACCACGGCAACTTCATGTCTGGCGTACGCGCATTTCTTGTGTGTGTTTGTTTATTTTCATTGGCGACTCCTAGAGGCAGTTATGTGAAATTGCACACTACAAAGTATCTTTGAGCCGTGCAATGGCAGCTGTATGAGACGGGTATGTCTCTAGCAGGTATATAAGGATTCCATACCATGCAGTTGACCAGCCAAACAATAAAGCTTAATTTGCAGCGATCGCCAGTTTTCCCAATGTAATCAGGGCGATCTGTTGCACACACATTGCTATAAAGGCACCATCTGAGGACGAATTTGCATACGTGAATCAAAAACATTTCCATTCAATAAATGTGCAAGTAATATGTGATGCTCAAATGTACTTAACATATTACACACACTTATTATTGATTCCTACTTGTCTTCCTCGTGACGAAGAGTAGGCAAAATCTGATATGTAGTGGGGGAAAAAGAAAAATAAGTTCATCAGACGCTGGATTTGAACCGGGTTTAGGAATGATAGTGTTAAAACATGTTGCCATGCTTGCTTCTTCGTTTGGTTTTGCCAAAGTAGAGTCATTAGCATATTCATACGGGGGAGGAGGCAGGGTAGGGTTTTGCGCTCGTGCATGTTGTGCTCAGTTTCACGTTCATTCCGATGTACAAAGAGAATATGCGTGTAATTCGGTGTACGCACTGTTTCATACATCTGAATTTTTTACTGTGTATGCTCATTTACAGCTTTGTGTGTACGCAAAGTTTTAGTATTAATTCAACGCAAGTGTTCATACATGAGGCCCCTCAAATGTTGTTTTGGTCATTTTAAAATGCCTTACCATTTAAGGATGAGTGTTATTATATTATTAAATACCTCCAGAATATAGTGAAGCATCTGCGCTCCGCGTCTCACTCCTTCAAACGCCACCTTGTGGTCATTGCAATCCAGCATCGTCTTCTGGATGCAAGTAATTTATTAAATAAGGAAAAGATACACACAGCTTCTCAATCCTACCGCAGCAGATGAGTTTCTACTGTTGATATCTGGTGCTAGTTATTGAGGAAGTGACGATTTTATTCTCTTTGACTCGTTGGATGGAAACGCTGCTTTATTCGCACATTTTGCGATATTCTGGTTTTGTTCATAAATTTAATTCACATTTTTGTATGGAAAAACATAGCTATTGGTGTGTTCACAGATGCAGTTCAGACAGAGAATGGCAGACAAACATCAACAAGCTACTTTATTTAAAATATATTGGTTTGTAATTGCTAACTGTACTCTAAAGCTTCATCTCCGGTTAATTTGACATGTTTTATAGTAATGTTGTCTAGTGTGCATTCATGCGTTCAGGAGGCATGCACTGTAAAAATGCAGGGTTCCACACAATTCATTCATATTGTCCCGACACAAATCGATTAAGTTAACTTAACACTTTTAACAAATTTATGTGGATTGAACATAAAAAAATTAAGTTGTCCCAATGAAATTTCAAGAATTGTGTTGTTTCAGCTCACTTAAATTAAGTAGTTTGAACATGTAAACAAAAATATAGAATTTTGAGTGTGGCTTTGGATGGCCATTTGCAGAGTGGGACTTATAGTGCTATCAGGCTGACGTTAGCATTTTACAAGATCTCCTATTGCACCTTTAAGTGTTGTTTTGGAGCCCACTGACTTAAATACTATGGATAAAATGATTGAAATATTCTTCCAAATCTGATTTATTTGTTCTCCACAAAAGAAAGTCAGGCCTGGCACCATGAGAGGCCAAAGGAGGCATTGATCCTACTTATGTAATTTGTGTCCCTCAGCAGGACAAGTGTGAAATACTTGCAATTTCAGATGATAAATGTTTCTAACGGAGGAGAACAAAAATCGTAACAAGCGAGGACATTGTGTGCATCTCCAAGAATGACATATTTGTGTGCTCTGGTGTCTGTAATCATCCAGGCTTGAAACTACATGAGGGTGAGTACATATTTCAGATTAACTATACCTTTAAGTAAATACCCAGAATTGAATTGGTGTGGAATGGTCTCTCGAGTGAGGAAAAATGAACGTTGAGAATGTAAAATGTACGAGACGTCCAAATATCCTGTGGTGTTGTGCATTCTCCAAGTATACTCCAAGTGCGGTTGTGTCCCACAGGTGCATGAGAGGATTCTCTACAGTCTTATCTGTCCCCGTTCTTCCTTTTTGCACAAATACAACACATAAACATTTTGTAAAGAAGTGATACTTCCTTTATTTCATGCCTAGAAATGATAATAAATGATTTTAAAATGATTCTTGGTGTGGTTGTGGTGTTTCCACCCTGCTTCTAGAGTCCTCCATGTTCTGCTTCTGTGGCTCAGAGACATTTATGGGGGGTGGGGGGGGGGGGGGGCTTTCTGCACATGTAGTCGGTCACTTTTAAAGTCACTTCTCTGTCTCTAGCTTTCTCTTCTCTTCTACAAGGCTGTAAAGCCCCTCCATACCCCCACCCCCTCTTTTGTTTTTCACATAGTTTCCAAAGTAGCTCCTGAGCATGGATAAATTCAACAGACATCTCTGGCTTATTTATAGAGAGGTAATCGTAAACAGTGGCTATTGATAGTCTGTCAACAGGCACAGAACCTTATTCATTTTTATTTAATTTTTTAAAACATTTGCTAAAATACAAGTAAGAGCACAAATGTGTCAAAATAAAAATCAATTATTGGTCAACAATGAAAATTTTATGGTAAAATTTTCCAACCATCTGTTCTCCAAATCATTTTTCCTATGTAGGGCCATGGACATGCTGGATCCCACTCAGTGGCTGTGTTCCATTCCAGGGATTTCATCCTCATGGCCTAATCTCTTCAAAGTAGTTACCCACCAGACAGTGGCATGGCTTGGAAATCTGGGCGCTAGAGGTGGGCTGTGTGATCAAAATTCTATTTTAGGGTATGAGTAATATTATTTCACAGTAACACAATGTTTCACAATGTAGTTATTGAAATAGTTATCACAGCAAATTCTGATTTATTTTCTGTTTGTGTGTTTGCGTTGTGAGTAAATTCTCCGATTAATGTATGGAGTCTTTGATATAGACATAAGTGTTAGGTTTGATATTGACATAAGTGTTAGGTTTTCAAAATAAATGAAAATCCGAGCTTTTCATTTATGACAGTTGATGATTTGTTCATAGAACTAACTGTTTTTATAAGTATAACAGCAGCCCCTGAAAAAATGTTGTCATGCAGCATGCACTAGGACCTAGAGGCTGCTTAGGAGCACACTGTAAAAAGTGCTACACCCACAAAGTAGATTTTACATACTTAAATTAAGTATAATCTAGTTTATTTTATTAGTTTAATACAAAAAAGTATGACTATGCTTTCTCCTTACCTAAAATATATATTTTTTTATGTAACAGTATATTTTGATCAAATTGAATGCAATTTATTTGAGTAGTTATTTGCAAACTGATGTTGTGTACAATAAATGTGTTAAAATTGAGTTGACTCAGACAATTTATTAGAGCAGCTTTCGATGTGGCAGGCTTGTTCATCAAACGTAATTTTAATAATTCGGCATTATCCATTTTTCACTGGCGGGCATTTTGTAGGCTGATGCAGCGTCTTTCTTTGTCGCCACGAGCTGTTTGCTGCAGGATCTCATTAACACGGTAAGTTTTAAAAACAAATTCTGAATGATTGGTGATGTAAAGCCACATGAAAACCGGTGATTCTGATAGGCAGGCGAGGTTCGTTCTGCAAATTGTACAGAAACATTAGTTAGCCCGCACCGCATGTCGAGCTAAAATGTCTGAAGTGTTGGTCACATAAGCCGCAGTCTGTTCGCGCCAATCTCATTAGCACGGTAAGTTTTATATTAAACCGAATGATTGGTGATGTAAAGTCACGCACAACCACGGACTTCGCTAGGCAGGCGAGGGTAATTGTGCAAACTGTACAGTAACATCAACTAACGTTAATGTTAACCCGTTCACATGGCAAGCTCAGATGGCTAAACAGTTGCGTGTTCATAAGAAACGGTCGGATCTCATGGTAGGCTATGCGTCCGTACAAGATATCTACGGTAACGTTAAGGTAAAAGGTATAAACAAAAAATGCTAATGTTACTTAAGTGCTACCGTATGCTACTTTATGTTATTACAAACTAACAATTAAAAAGGGATCGTATTAGTAGGATCGAATGCGAAAGTTTAATTAACAAAGTGTTGTTGTCATGACTACAGAACAGATCACGGGCTAAGTTATGCCGTGGATTGGTTCGTTAGCTAGCTCACCAGACCTGTTAGCGTTTGCTAACATCATCGCAACTCTTGCTACATTGAGGATGGATAATTTAGTAAATACAGATATGTATGTTGTATGAGTTCAGGGTGCCTTTATATCATCAGAGATCCTGTTAGTATACTGTAGCATTACTTCAGTAAATTTATCAGATTTCTCGATTTCATTTAAATTCTGCACAGTAAATGAATTAGAGATTTTTGGTTGAAATCCTTTAAAACTATTTCTACAGTATTACTGCAATAACCCCATTATTTGCCAGTAATGTTTACAGAAACATTTTGACTTTATTCTAACATACTCTTTCTTGGTATTTAGATACTCAAGTGCATTACCTGGGGTCTGCGATCTTCACAAACAGGTGAGACAAAATTTAGAATAGATACAATTACAGCTATAACTATTTTCAGGTAAGTAAAACATATTGTGAAATATCACAATCAAGAGTCTGGGCACTATAGACTTACATTTGATGTAAATCATTTTTAATATGTTTTTATGTGTACCAATTACCTGAAGGCATATCATCTGCTGTCTGTGTCCTGCCCACAACAAAGTTAAAAAAAAAGAACCAAATAGGGCAGTTTCTAATTATCAATCTTTTTCTAAAGGCTGACTGATAATTCTTGCTCACTGAACTGTCATTTGCCACTAAGATTTGCTCAATGTTTCTGTAATAAAAAGGATTTTACATGTGGTTACTAAAATCCTTCATGTAGTTAATTATACTCCACAATTAATAACTACCAAGCTTTTAAAGTGCATCATAAAAATGTGGTTTAAATTTTAAGGAAAAAATAAATTAATTAAATGTGGCTTCAGCAGCAAAGGACTACACTAATGCCTGCATGCAGGGAATTCATACAGAGACCCGAAATGGAGGTGATAGTGGGGGGAAAAAATGGGTGGAAGAAAAAAAAACTGGGTGATAGGAAAATATATATTTTTGAGTTTTTGCGTTCCCTTGAAAAGATGTTTTGCGAGGAAATGCAAAGTTGTTTTGTGATCCCTCGCAAAACTGTTGTTTGACAAACCCTTCCCGTTTACTTCATACATTTCAACCCTCCCATTTTTGCGGTGATTCTCCTGTATATTACTATTCTATCCCACTATCATCCTATCATATCAAGTAGTTTCCTGTATTTCCCCCACATTTTTAATATTGAAAGCACGTTTAAATGAATATAAAAATGTCTGCATTCACTTTCTTTCCATTAATACTGTGTGTCAATCATTGCCCTTCCTGTGTAATCTCTGAATCAGTGAATGCATGTATAAGCACTGACAGATCAGCTTTTATACATGCCATTTAAAGAGGAGTTAAAGTGCAGGACACTTTGGGATTTGGGTGTGTGTAAATAGACAAATACACTTAATAATATGTAAATGTATTCCTCCTGTATGTTTTATTTTAAACACAACTTATTCTCCTAAATAAGTACAAACAGTTACTAAAGTAATCGAATGCTTTCATTCTGAATCTGTGCATTCTTACAGTGACACATGTTAACAAAGAAAACAAAATCAGAGATTTTGGAAGGACAACGAACAACGCACCACTTTAATGGAAAGAAAGTGAAGGCAGATTTTTTTATATTAATTTAAACATGCTTTCAAGATTAAAATATGGGAGAAATATGAGAAATACGTAGTGATAGAATGATATTGGAATAGAAATACAAAAGTACAAAATACTAGTGCTAAAATACAGAAGAATCCAGCTCGGCAAAAACGGGAGGATTGACATGTATGAAGTAAATAGGAAGTGTTTGTGAAACAACATTTTTAGGAGAGATCGCAAAACATCTTTTCGAGGGAACAGAAAAACTTTTCTATAATTGAAAAAGATTCTATAATTGACAGGCAACCGTAATTTAATACATATTACACTGAAAAAGAAAAAAAATCACAGGTTTCATTAGAATTTGATGTTGTTAAAAGCAAGTGTAATAATGTATACACAACAAAGTATGTAGCTTTTTTAACATAAGTTTGCATGTTGCTTTACTATGTTTGGATTATTAATATTGGCATAACCTTGAGGGATACTTAACACTTGTAAACAAAGGGGAGTGTCCTGAAAATACTGAAAATAATTTTCTTTCTTATTTATAATCTGTAGGCAAGGATAAAATGAGTTGGCCATGCAAAAGGTGCAGTGATCACTTACCTACCAGAAGTGACATTTTGAAACATTATAGACTGCATCATGGAACCTTTGGTCATAGTCATTCATTACCATGCATTTACTTGGAATGTCCATGTTTTTTCAAAACTTGGAGTGGTTTGCATTCGCATTTGTCTCGATGCCATCTGGAAAGTCAGACACAAAGACCTGAGATTGTCCTGTCCTTTACATGCCTGGTGTGTAGGACACAAGGGTTTCCAACAGAAAGAGAATATTTTGCACATGTTGTTCATCACCTTAAAAGTAATGTGACAGTTGAATGTGTGTTTCAAGGGTGTGATTTCCAAACCAATATTTATGGAACGTTTAAAGCACACAAACACAGGAAGCACACTCCTCATACTCAAAGCGATTTTAAAGAAACTGTTCTTTTTGAAAAGCCAAACCAGACACCAACTTTTGAATTAGATAACACTGGAGCCACCCAGGATGAAAATATAGATGAATGTAGTGGAGAAGGAACCAGCTCATGTGCACATTTTGTGCAAAAGGATGACAGGTACTTAATTGTGGACCATATAGCTTCTTTCCTGCTTAAATTGGAAAGTGTGCATAATGTCTCAAACAGGTGTATTGATGAGTTGGTAGATGAACTGCAGTTTGTGTCATCAGCATCCATGCCAATTATCAGAGAAATTGTTGAATCACACTTGAAGAAAAACAACTGTGTCATTGACAGCACAGTTGTAACCTCTTTATTTGAGGAATTAAATGAATCCAACCCCATAAGCATGGCTTTTGATAAGGATGGGCCACTGTCATCAGCTTTCAAAAGGAGACGGCACTTTCTAAAAACATTTAACGTTGTAGAGCCAGTTGAATATGTTCTTGATCCAATTAAAAAGAAGAGTTTTCAGTATGTTCCAATCCTTGAATCATTGAAACAAATTTTAAACAACAATGATATCAGAGAACAGTTTCTGAGAGATTATGGAAACACAAGTATTCCTGCACAGTACAGATCATTCCGTGATGGTGCCTTTTATAGAGAGAGTGATTTTTATTCTGAAGAGCAGAGAATCTGCATATTCCTTTATGTAGATGATTTTGAGGTATGCAATCCCTTAGGAACATCTCGAAGGAAACACAAGATAACAGCCGTGTACTGGATCTTGGGAAATAACCCATCGTGTTATCGCTCCACACTAACTTCAGTGTATCTAGCACTTTTGTGCAAAGCTAATGATATTAAGACATTTGGATATGCAGAGGTACTCAAGCCACTCCTTGATGACATAGCTGTACTGGAACAAGATGGAATTTTGATTCCAGTCATAGGGAAAACTGTCAAAGGGTCCATCTACTGTGTAGTTGCTGACAATCTTGGTGCACATTCACTTGCTGGCCTTGTAGAAAGTTTTTCAGGAACATACATTTGCAGGTTCTGTCTAGGAGAGCATGCTGACTTTCAAGAAAAGGAAGTGAG